AACAAATCATTAAATAAATAAAATGGATGATATAAATTTGAAATTGTTAGCTTAAATATTTCAATAAATAATTTAATAGAATTTGTAAAAAAAAATCTAAATCAATTAGATAAAAATAAAATCAGTAGAAAAGAATTTGTATGATTTTTAAAATCAAAATATCTTTGATTTTAAAAAGTTAATTCTATCTATTCCAATTAGAAACAAGAAAAAAAAAAGAATGAAATAAAAATTTTTTTCCTTATACAATTATAAATAATTTGGGGAGAAAAAAAAAAGGCAGTAATAATTAGAAATAATTTTTTATCATTCTTTTTTAAATTGTATTAGCAATTAATCAAAATTTTGTTATTTTACAACTATTCGTTTTTAATTTCTCTTTAATTTCTAATTTCTTTTCCTTCATTATTAATTTCATTTTTGTTTTCTATGCAATTAAATTTCATTCCAATTTTTATTATCAAAGGAAATATTTAGGCTTCAATTTAGGTTTCAATTTAAAAAAAAAAAAAATGTAAAAAAATGTAAAAAAATGAAATAAAATGTTTATTTGAGTTTCATATGATAGAAAAAAACAAATCGAATGGATTTTTTTTCTCGTTTTTATACTTTATTTTTTATCACTTCAATTTTCTTCTTTTATTGAAATATTATTTTAACATATTTTTATACTATGAAAATTAAATAACTCAATCGACAATCAATTGTCGATTGAGTTATTTAATAGAATGTAATCAATAATTGCAACTAAAGTAATGAAACTTCTCTCAACATAGGTAATGAGAAAAAAGCTTATGCAATTTAACTTTTACTAAAGGATTATAAAGTAAAAGTTGTTAGTAAAAGTTATTTTTATTGATTGAATTTCTTAAAATTTTTATAACAACCAAGTAATGTCTAATTTTACATCGAGAAGTTTTAATTTTTTATCACTTTTTTATTACTCTTTTCTTTTTTTCTTTTCCTCTTTCTCTTAGTAATTAACTGATTCGGAAAAAAAAAAGAAAAAAACTTTGATTCGTTATTTAGGATAAAAATTTAATTTTAAATCACATTCTTCCCCTTTTTGTTCCTCCATTCCTATTCTACAAACAATTGCTAAGGTATAAGCTGTTGAAAATCTATCAAAATTAAATTTTGGTTTTGAAATTAAAATTCGAGAAAAACATTTTACTTGTCGCAAAATTCAATAAGGCGACACTAATTGATGCATCAAGCAATGAATTGTATTCCTGTGACATCCTATAATTTCATTTCAGTTGAAATAAAAATATTGATTAAACAAAACAAATAATGGAAATATAAAAATGAAAATGGAATAAATTGATTAATGAAATTAGATCTGTCACAAATTATTCCTTTCTCAATTATAAAACTATATTTAAGTATTTTTTGAATAACTCATTATTTAATTATGATTTTGCTATTATTTCAGTATGATTTCGAGGATTACTGGTAGTGATAATAAAAACGAAAGCTAACATAGAGTAGTGCAGAAGAAAATTTAAAAAAAAAAGTTGAAATTTTAAAAGAATAAGAATTTCTGTTTTATTTATCACAAAATCCGATAATAAAAAGAAAAAAATTCTAAAAATAATAAGCATTTCTGTTTTACTGATCGGATAAGAAGGCATTGATTGATATAAAAAGCAATGAAATTACCTTTGATAAAACATAATTAATCAATTAATTAAAGCATTCAAGTTTTACAGGTATTTTCTTACATTGCATTGTTTATTATTTAATTTAAGTGATGATTAATGCTATTAAGCAATTAATCAATGATTGAAATTTGTAATTTTGTGGTGCTTTAATTGATAAAATGAGAAATACAAAACTGTTGTTTAATTAATTAGAAAATATTTTCACTCAAATTCATCAAATATATCCATGTGCACTCATTCCATCGTCAACGAAAAATTAATTATACATTTATCTAAAAGTTTTAACACAGGAGGGAACAAAATTAATGTCGAGTTTTCTGTTAAAAAAAAAAAAAGATGAAATTTAAGCTTAAAAATCAATAGATGAAATTAATTAATGCAACCAAAAAATATTACAATTAATTGAAGTTAATTAATGCATTTAAAAAATGATATAAGTAATATCTATAAAATACTAAAATTTAATTAAATGATTAGAAAAATACAATATATATATATTTTATTACTTTCATCAATAGCTTCACTTATCGATAAGCAATATATTTTAATTATGCGACTTTTGTAGAATTTCTTCAAAAAAATTTTTATTCATCAAATTGACTTAGTATTAATTTCAAATATATTATTAATTTGAATATATCTTTTTTTTTCTTCAAGTTTTTTCCAACAGATTTATATATTTCTGTAAAAACCTTCCAATATACTATGACAATAAAATCAATTTTTATTTCATAGATAAAACTGGTTTGCACTTTATACTACAATTTTTCATAGTACAATGTATTTCATATTTTTATAGTATATGTTTTGTTAGGCCTTATTCTCGAACAGGGACATGTCATTACATCAAATTTCTAATGTACAACAGGTTTTAACTTTAGAACCTTCGAGACAAACATAGCAATCATTGCTACAAAATGCTTTTCTCGTCAAAACTTATTCCTATCCCACCTTATTATTAAATGTGAAATCAATTATGCTTTTCTCATTCAGTGATAAAAATATGTGAAACAAGCATAAACTTTGAAAAATTTGACGAAATTACAATTTCAAATTAATAATTATGTGAATTCGAATTTCATTTAATAATAAACTGTTAATTTCTCAATTCTCTGAGCAATTTTCTATCATTGCTAGCACGGAGTTAAGTTAAAAAATAAATGAACCATCCAGAAAAAAAGAAGTAAATGCAGAATTTTGCATTAAAAGCAAATAATTCAGAATTCTCTGAATTGCCTGAAATTTCGCATTGAAAAGAGAAAGTCCACAATTTCAGAGTCTGACCTAAATTTTTGCTTTAAAGAGATACAGTCCTGAATTCTACATTAACAGTTTTTAAAATTTTAGAAATAGACCAGAAAAGAGACAATTCAAGTATCTATTGATGGTCCAGAATTTTATATTAGGAAAAGATTGTTCCGGAATTCTTTATCAAAATAGTCATAATAGCATTTATAATTATGATTACCGGAAATGAAAGAAAAACAGGAAGAGAATATCGGAAAAAAAAATTTTTCATATTAATTCGCTTCAAAAGAAATACAACGAATGTTAAAATTAAACTATAATTGCTTTCTACCATACAAATTGCTAAGTGTCTGCAAATTTGCCAACGGTGGAAACTTTTTTTTAAAATATTATTGATAAAAAAATAAATGGATGAGAGATTGTGCTAATGTTCGGTTACATCAATTTGTTTGCCATGCATTTCTCGTAGGAAATCATTTCGATGAGATATAATAGTGAGAATGAATTCTTCATGTATAATTTTCTTCTCATATATGATTTAAATTACATCTAATCGTTTATTGTAATAAATTTTCACTTTCTTTTCTGAAACAAAAATTCAAAAAATAAAAGTGTAAAGATCAAATATACAATTTACATTTGTATTAGCTTTCAGCTTGTATCTTCCCACTCTTCTTTTATCAATATATTAACCAATTAATTTAATAGTTTCATATTTTTGTTAAAATAATTTTCAAATCTCATGATGACCTCTTCCAATTCAATCTAAAATAAAACCGATGATAGTATTTAAATATGCAATTCCAGATGCATCACCGATATTTTATACAATCATCAGAAAGTATACATTTTATTACATAACTGTATTTAAAGTTCATAGCCTAGAAATAGACAAAGTATTATTTATTATTGGTATGATAAGTTTCTTTCAATCAGTTGTTTTATTATTTTTTTTTATCAATAAATTGCTTTCAATCGTAAATTACTTTTAGTAATTACTTTCATAAATTACTTTCGATAAGTTACTTTCAAGTAATTCGCAATGAGTCAAAATGTTTTTGCTTTACGAAGTTACTTCACGAAGATTTACGATGCACATTCATAAATAATTACATAACATTTTCATCATCAAACATTAGAATTAAACAATTACATTAAATAGTTAAAAAAAAAATGTGCGCTAAAATGTCATTTAAAAGCAAAAAGTTTTGTTAAACATTAAGCAAAAAATGATTTGACACATTTAAATCATAGAAAATTATATTTTAACTTTTTCGCTAACAATAATAGTGAATATCAAACAAAAAAATTAACATAAATTAGCATTAGTTTGAAAAAAAAAGAAATCAATGTGAACAAATCTCGCAGAGGACAATAAATTATCACATAATATACACATTTATTCTTTTCTAATAACACATTTATCTAATTTAACATTCAAATTAAAAAGAAAATAACAATGAAAAATTTATGTGATCTTAAGCAATTTTTTTTTTCGGAAGAAATTTTGTAAAAATTTATATGCAGCTTTTTTAATTTCATTTTTTAATGCTTTCTGTATTAGGATAGGAATTTAACAATCATTTAAATAACTGTTATATAATTTGAGATCGTATAAATTAAAGATCGTTTTTTTTATTTTCAAGTAAATATATTTCTTTATTTGAATTTAATTCAAATGATTTTAATCCATTTTATTTTTGTTTGTTAATCATCGGCACACAACTTTGTTTGTTTATTTTTTCAGCTTAGTGATAACAGTACAATAATGATTCATCCGGAAATAGCAACAGCTCATTCCGGATATTTTCGTCGACATTATTTAAAGGAAATGAAAGCACAAAAGAAACCTGTGACATTGTTCATCGATCACCTCATCAATTATTTTCTTCTACAGTGGTATCCTACCATGTTCATTGGCTGAAATTCCTGAACTTCTAGCCTTGTGCTGTAAACTTCAGGTCCGTTTTATCAAAAAAAAAAAGTTTTATTGGAGTAAGAAATTAAATGTTTTGTTTTGAAATTAAAATCTGTTGTAATTGCATAAATATGAAAAATACTGAATGCTCATTTTAATAAGTACCATCAATGAGAGCAATAATTGAAAAATTTATCATTCAAAAAGCAGCTGATCATAACTGTTTATTGGATTGTTGGAATATAAGTTGTCATCGACAATTTGACTTATCACTTCGAACAAAAGATTTTGTGCTCAGTTATGTGATGCGTTCTTTGGAAGAAGTATGCCAAATCCAAAAGTTATATTTATATTTTGAAAGAATTATTGATTATTTCACATGAAAATGTTACTTATTTGTCCCATCTCTCTGCCTTCTTTTTCATTTGAGGCAGTTTTGGATCTACGATTTGCGCAACTGGATCAAGCAGCTGTGGAAGAGTTACTGAAACGTGACAATTTACCGGTCCGTTCGGAATGTGACGTTCTACGTATCGCTTTGATGTATTATTTTCGTCATGAAGGACATGTGAATATGCAAAGTTTGCTGAATGTTATTCGATACAATTGTGGTAATGAAACACTCATGCGGGTATGTAATAAAATAATAAGGAATATTTTAAATTATTAATACTTACTGATAAAATTATTTACATCACTAATTTAGTAAATTTATAAATGATTGGAAAAAAACTTCTCGAAATACTGTCATCTTAAACAGAAATAATTTAAGTTTTTTGAAAAACTTTGAAGCTTTTCATAAATTATAAAAAATTCTAATTTCAAATGCATCAAGATATTCAGTATAGATAATGAGGAGCCGCGCTTTTGTTTCGAAGAAAATTGCGCTCATGGATTGTGGCAAAGTGAGCGTCATCTATACGATCAGAATATATGGCCTATAACAGATGCGCCATCGCCACGTAGAAATCCGAATGTTGATTGACTGTAATTGGATTAATGCGCAATTTTACACTCTGATACGAACTTATTTCTTGATCAATTGTTTTAATTGATTGGATTTCTAGGATTTCGTTCTTAAACTTTTGAACATTACTGATTTTTAGCTCTAGCCCGCTACTGCATCTTTCCAATAGATTGGATTTAATTCATGCAGCGTGGATTCCTCACAAATAACAGATTCAAACCATAAAATTTTATTACAAGCACTTATCAATTAGATATTTGTGTATTTCAGTATTAAATAAAATTCGTGGCATTATTACAGTGTTACTTTATGCAGATCATAAAGCGATCAGTGTTAAATGAATTGTGAATTATAGAAAGAAGGAGAAATGATAATCTAAAGATGAAATGATAATCGTCTAAGTTAATAAGTTAATGGCCAATACGTGGTACTGTAGTCACAATACTTCGACAGGATTATCAATTTTGATAACCCAAGAATTCCGAAAGAACTGGTGACAGCTTAAGATTTTAGCAATTAATTTTTTGAAAGAGATTTGTAGAAAATTGAAAGAAGTTTATTTGAAAAGTTCCCAGGCATTAACAAATTAATGCAAGAAGGATAAACAGAGAAGCAAGAAAATTCTTCGAGATAACTATCTCAATGATGATTTTCAAGTTTATTGAAAAGCAGCACACAATAACGGCTTGAAATGAGGAGAAAGACAACAAAACAAAATTTAAAATTCCTAAAAAACAAAGAATATCTTAGATATGTTAAAATGAGGACACTGCATGCAACGATGAAAACACAACGATATTTGCGCAAAATTTACAATAAAAAAAAGTGAAGTTTTAGTATCGAAACTTATTGCATTCGTTTCATTAACATACAGCGCCAACCTAAATTTTATCTATTTTAAGACAACATTTCCTATTATCTTTTTTTGTAAAATTGCTCATATATTCTTCAAATTTCATTTCAGTTAACACTTCCATTTTAAAATGAAACAGTACGTCAGAAAAATGACACAACTAATATAAAGCATTGTTACAAATAATGTATTGCAACACCATCAAAAAACTTCCTAAATAGTAGAAATTTTTAACTCTTAAAATTTTGCAACTAACGGTGCATAACGTTGGCAGGAAATGATGCCATAAAATTGTTTCACAATTTCACAAAAATCCAAAAAAAAAAAAAAAAAAAAATGGGAAAAACAACAGAATGTTGCATCTTGGAAAGAAATTTGATAATGAGAAGCAAAACCAAATCAGAAAGACAATTGTGACAGTGCATAGAGATCACAAAACTTTTCCGAACAGGATAAAATAATCGTTGTTAGAGAACTTCATTCAATTTCCAATGTTGCTTGAAGGCCATCAAAAAATCTAGCCTTTTGATCAGAACGAATCAACACCACTTAATACATCAATTTAAAAGAAAGAACAAAATTTCTTTTATCTGCATGTGATTTAGGAAAGAAAGTGTCTTGGTATGGAGTATAGTATAGGAGAATTAGTACGTCTCAATGAAGCTTAACAATAAAATGACGATATAAAATTTTTGCTTACTTGCAGAATCGAAAAAATCTCGTCGAGCACCATCACGTATAAAATTTTCTACAACTTTTTGCATTGCACGTCCAATAAAACTGAAAATATTCTCAAATTTCAGTTGTTTTCAGCATTTTATACGCTTATTGTAATTAGTATTAACTTCTGCTCACAAAAAAATGATAAACATCAAACTAAGAAAATTTTTAACAGACAGAAGCTAAAAATTAATGCCAAAATCAGAAATCAGCTTTGAATGAATGTTTCAGACCTTCCAAGTATTCCTTTTTATCTTCCAATAACAATACTACCATAATTCCGCAATAAAAAAAGTTGAAAAGCAGATGCAAACTGTCTGCTTACCTTTTCTGATTGCTGTCTTCATAATCGGTATTTGCTGGCATAGAACCAGTTATCAGAAACCAACCAGTATTTTCACCACTCATAGGTACAGCAACAAATAATGGTCGATTAGCACGATTTTTTGAATGACTCTGAAAATTTTGAAGAAAGATCAGACAAAAACCTAGTCTAATTCAGAAAAAAAAGTCGATTTAAATTTGGAAAATAATTTAAAAACGAGGAAATTGCAATTGATCAACCGCATCTAAACCGCTTCTGATATTTTGCCAACTAAACTAACGAAAAATTTCACTCTTTTGCAGTAAAGTTTCATGATAAATGATCCTATAGTTGCTAGAATAGTGAAAAATTCCTTATATATTGTCGAATATAAAACGAACAGGATATAAAAACTTAATGACTTGAAAATAATGATTTGTTTTACTCAAACAACAGTTTATGCACCAGATACTGCACAAACTATAAAAAATACTGCTGAAAATCTTACTGAAACAGTGAATGCTCGAAGAACATAATGAACAAATATATAAAGAAAATGTCTGCAATGTAAAATACGAGCTTCATCTTCCTGAAAAGCATTAGGAAAGCGCTGATTTTGGCAAAAAAAATAGGAAATTTTCAAAACCAATGATTATTAAACAAGGAATTTGACTAGCCAAATCAAACTTTATTCTTCAGAAATTCGAATTCTTTTTTCCAAATTAGATGATACCTGAGGAAGGCAGAGAAGATAGAAAGATCCAACAGAAACAATAAGGCTTTGACTGATTGACATAAAAACGAGATTTACAAGACTGGTCAAACAACTTTTGTATGATTCAATTGCTTTTGACAGTGGTGTCTTATCCCCTCCTGAAAAAGTCAGTGGATTCAGCAATTTCACTGAGGATTTAAAAATAAGGAATCGCGCTATCACCTATAATTTGAAACTCTAAAGCTTAATTACAAACGAAATTCAGTTAGAATTAATAACTTGCCTTCTCTATCTCCTATAAAATCAATTCAAAATGATATATATATATAAGACAAAAAAAAGAAAGACCGTCTACGAATTTCTGCAAGATTTCTTGTGCACCAATAAAACGATCGTAGGGCGATTCAACTTCGACAATTCCATAACTTATACGTCCCGCAATGGCCCGCGCAAAATCACATGAATTGTACCTAGAACTTCCTTATTTTTTTTCTCAAGTTTTTATACTAAAATAACAAGTCACCATAACAATCTAGACCATAAAGATTAAGAAAATCAGAAGTGAATTTCCATAGCTTAAACGCAGACCTTTCAACTTACGCTGCCATCATCATAGTGATAGCAAACTCATTTTAACACTACCATAAACTTCAAAATCTCGAGATATTTCCGTCTCAAGACACTTCACACCGATTCTAATGGATGTGAAACACAATACTAGCAAAAGTTTAACCTCCGATCTCTTTTAATGATGTTTGAGTGATTTTGATTAATAAAGCGTACAATATCAAGTGAACAATTTATAAGAATATGAAACGAAATGAATGAAATGAACGCAATGAAATGAAAAAATTTATAGCATTACAACTAACTAGCTTAAATTCTTACTTTTCACTATATTCTTACCTGCTGCTATATCCGATGTGAGCTGTAAAAGATGCAAATTCATCATCCATGTGCTTATATATGTGACGAAATATGGCATCTTTCCTTTCCGATGTTAGCGCACTGTACACTTGATGACTTTCTTCCAGTGTTATCCTAAAAATGAATCTTATATTTGCTGATGTTTCGGGTATACTATATAATCGACATGTACTTTCTGAAAAAAAAAAAAAAAAAACCAATTTAATGTTACTGCAATAGAAAAACTGGAGCATTCCCAAACACTGCATTCTGCAATCGTAGTGATCAATGAAACTGAATCGGATGATATTGATGGCTCAAGTTCATAAGTTACTATTAATTTTAATGTATGTTCTTTGTATACATTGATTCCTCAGAAGTTGCTTTTCCTCAGATGAACAAAATTTGGTGATATCTGAAGTCTTTACAAATGCAAATATGCAAAAGGATGCAATTTACTTACTCAAGTTCAGCAAGCAATGCCTTCATTATAAGAGCACCACTTTGTTGCCACATTTGCGTTAAACAAAAGAAAAAATCGTTATGCACCATGCTTGTATATAATGACCAATGTGCATATAACGGCAACATGATCCTGAAATTGTAATTCTTCAGATTATCTATTCAGACATAATTTTCCAAAGATAAGATTAACACTTTTCAAAATTCCACGAAATAAAGTAAATACATTCTCAAAAAAAAAAAAAAAAATCAACATCTTATTGAATTTCTTAATCAAAATTCTTCACTAAATATTACGCTTATAACCCCATTTGTCCCATAATATGAAATAATCTTTGGAACTATCAAGCTTATCCTCCAAATGGTACTCATTAGCGCTTGAATGAAAAATAAGTTGCAGAAAAGTTTGTGAACCAAAGATAAAACTAATTTAATTTTCCATCTGGATAAAATTCCATCCTGAATACTCTTAAAGAAAGTGAAATTATTATTTTTGCTTAATAGCTCATAGTGTTATTAGACAAAAGAGAATTAGCATACTCATCATCGAACTTCAGCCGAAGGATGTCATCACCTCGTACAATATCCGATCCATCTGGACAAAATTTCATCCTGAATGCTCTTAAACGGTCGAAGCACACGGTCGTATAGCAATCATGACTTATTAAATACTCTACAAGCTGACTACTTATTCCAACTACTGCTGCCCACATCATTTCGACTGTAGTTCGACCAACGGAATGTGCTACTTCCAACATCAGCACAGCACTCTAAAAGTAGATGATGGATTTTAGAACCAATTTAGATGGTTATGAATTAATTAACAACTACTGCACTTTTCACCAAATTTCAAATTATCAAATAGGTTCATAAATTTCAAATCTGAAAAACTCCCAATCTTACAATTACAGCTTTAATCAACGCATACATAAACACTAAATTTAAAAAAAAAAGCAATGATAAATGACGGTGGTAAAGCAGTGGTAAATATAAAAACTTCAACTTCCCATTTACTAA